ATCCGGCTCACTTTCGAGTTCTTCCTCTTCTTCCGCATAGTACGTCATCGACACGGCCAAGAGCTCATCCCCTAGGTGTTCCGTGGAGATTAGCTTCTCGGGGCCCAAAATGTCTGAGGCTAGGTTAAATGCTCGCCAGAAATCAATCCCAAAATAGGCTCGGTGTTTCAGGTAGGGGCAGATAAAAAACGTGATTTTTTTGTTGTTCCCTGTACGAGATTGGGAGTTCTACCCTACCTATAATTGATTTATCCTCGCCTCCAGCGGTTGTGACTACTGAAACGTAAGGTTGTACCGTAACCCTTAATTCCTCGACCAACTCTCGACTTCCTTCTCCCAGCAGGCTGACGGAGGCTCCTGTGTCTAACAACCCTCTCCTCTTGATCCCAGCGACCTCCGCTTCGGCGAATACGCGTGGCTCTATGCTATCCTGCCGTCTCACAGCTTCAATGACCTGGCGCCTAGTAATCCTGCGTCTGCGGAAGCGCGCACGAGCCTTCACCACACTTCGGGTGGCCAGCGTCATCCCATCCAGCTGTCTCTTACCAAAAATTCCATTTCGGGCCGACATGTGTCGCCGAACACGTTCTTCATATGGTAAGCCCCTTAATGTTCTTCCTTTATTCATATCCTTATACATAGCTTTATCCTAGTCCTAATGGTCTATAGTTTTCTCCTTTTCAACTACTATTGGCTTTGGTAGGTGTTCTTTTCCTGCCTTTCGCGGTTGCCGTCCCCGAATGCGTCTGTTCCGCCATCATCGCGCACCCTCTGGGGTTTTCCAGATCATTTTCGTACTTTGAGCAGAATGTGTCCTGTGTCCGGCGAGCTGACGCATGTGGTGGATGTAATCATCCAAGCCTTTGCTTGGTGTGCCTCTCGCTATAGTAGCACACACGCATCACATCATGCTCCATCTGATAGCCCCGGAACCTGTCTGAGAGAGCGTGCCGCTGTTGAATCCAGCTGTCGACCCTAGAATGCAGCACGTGCATCCTGTACCACTCACGGGCACGGCCGGAGCAGGTGAAATCCGCGCAGGACCTCTTTCCATGGGCATTCATATTGACTCTGCAGGAAGTCCAGCCGGAACACGAAGTCCTCGACAGAATTCATGGCGTCCTCGCCATCGAACTTGACGTTCCACCGCTCAAGCTTCAGGTACGCCGTTTCTCGTACGTTGGCACATATTCCTCCGGCTGGAAGTCAGCAGTGGCAGTGCCGACGCTCCGTCAGCGTCAGAAGCCCAGTCCGACATCTGTTCCTCAGCCATACTAATCTCTTCAGAAAACTGTACCCCTCTCTTTTATAAGGCTTACTAACCCTAATACAAAAAAAAAAACTTCACAAATAATTCCTATTAAATAAATAAATAAATAAACACCCACTAACAAATCTAACTAATAATAAGTAAGAGGTTCTAGTCGGGAGCCCCCGACTAGGGGATACCCTGAACCCTCTTCTTCTAACACCAAATGCAGATCGCGCTACGCGCTCATTTGCTTAAGTAGTAATAAACATAAATTAAAATATAAAAAAAATTGTTCCCTTGGCAGGGCTCGAACTCGCAGCTAACCGCACCACTTGCCGCCGCTTCTACTCAAGAGCCACACACACAATTGAGTTTTAATGAGAAAAAAAACCAATTAAAATAGCAGACCAGAAAACAATACAATCGCAATTGCAATGCTGTTGATAGAGTTCAAAGCAGATGTGTGTGTGTACATGTATACAGAAATTCATGGAATTTGCGCAGCAGCTATGCTGCTAACACGTGCGCACATAACTTTTGTGTTTCTTAACCGATCTTAATAAAATTCTCGACAGTACATCTTATTGTAGAATAGAATATAGAATATTTGTGCATTGCATTAATTGTGGCTTAAATTACAAGTTGGTTTATTAACTTGATTTATAGCTTTGTGATGGTAAAGGAAAGGTGGCATAGCTATTATATGAAAGATACTTGATATATATATATACTATTCTAGAAGCTATATGTCAAGTTTGGCGACTCTGGCTCTTATTATTTACCAAAATTGGGCAAAAAACAGGATTTCGATATCGATTTTTATCGATTACTTGAAAAAGGGGCAAGTTATCGAATATCGGAAACAAACTCGATCTGCGCGTGGACCTGTAGTTAAAATTTCAAGTCTCTAGCTCTTATAGGTGCTGAGATCCTTGCGCTCATACAGACGGACGGACGGACAGATAGACACAAATACATAATACCCTTTTTACCCATTTTCAATGGATTCAGGGTATAATGAGTAATAAATAAATAAACATCGACCACACAAATAACTCATAAAAATAATTTTTATATATATTTTAAAATCAATTGCATATACTTTGGGGAAGAGAAGTCAAATCCTAATTCAGGCTTACTTCTCTATGCATAATCTGGACAGTGGACATTCAGGCATTCGTCAAATGCTCAGTTCTTCAGTCTGACTGACAAAAGGCAATCAAGGACCGCTATCTTGAAGTCTATTCGGCTTCTGTCAGTCTTCTAGGCACCCTTGGGGCATGCTGTGTCACAGGTGCAGCGCAGGATCTAATCTATATCGTCCTGGGTCACCTGGCTCCGAAGCTCATATAACTACGGCCAGCACAAACCAAACGTAAACACAGAGTGAGACAAAACAAATAGTAAAAATTAAACAAACTCTAACAAAACGTGCCCTAATATCACATTTTATGACAGGTTATTTTGTCATAGCGGCTACCACCAGGCTATGATGGACAGTCGCAAACGCTTCATCATTATATTATATTATATTAAGAAAACTCCTTATGTTAATGGACACCATGGTAAGATACGCCTCCGTCGCTCTTCTGGCCATTCTTGGGGTATGCTGGGTGAAGATGAGGTGCAGGCTCGATTCTACATCGTCCTGGGTCACCTGTCTCCGAAGCTCTTCTAACTACGGTCAGCATACATCCAACATTAACACAGAATGAGACAAACAAAACTAATAATTGAAAAATAAACATGTGATCGTGACTTACCGCCATCAACCACGACAAGAAAAAATTCTCATGCTCATGCGATATTCTAATAATATCTGCCTCCGTCGTGCTTCTCGGATTCCACTACACGCTGCGCGATTATGGGCCTCCCACTCGTACCACATAAGACATCAGCGGTGTGGATCCTAAAACCAATGGAAACTTGGCTTCATAGAAGCCGGTGGCTTCTTCAAATTTGGGCGCCATATTGATACGGAACTGCTTGTTTCTCTTTGGGCCGAGCCAGCCGGCTCATCGGCTCTCTGGGTGTAGTCCCATCCCTGGCCCGCAGTCCGCACAATCGATATCAACAAGCTACCACTTCTGTAGCAAAACAGACCTATACAACACTATCCAAAACGAACCACAAAATCGATAGCATCAAACAGATGGATCTATTAACAAGTGAACAACACTAACAGCTGTGACAAGTAAATGTAAACAATAAAGGTGAGACGCTAATATAAATTAACAAACAAAACACTTTTAATCCACTTTGAAACTTAGCCGGACATTCTTTTCTCTCAATATGTGCGTATAATTGGTTGCATTTCCTTAAAATAATTAACAATTAATATTATTTCTTATTGCCTAACTCTTTGCAGGATAACTCCACTCAGAAATTTATAATGTCAGGCAAGCTGACATTCCTTTTCTAATTCACCAGGCGCGTATAATACTTGTATACTCTTATAATTATTGACAGTTAATATTATTTCTTACTTCATTATCTCTTATCTCATTGCAGAACATCTCAAACCTTCTTTATATATATAATCACCACAAACCCTTGCTGGCCGCCGCTGAAACACCACATGGAGAAATAATATGTAATAATTGATACATATATACATATAATCCATACAAAAAAAAATATGCTAAGATATATAGGTATATATATAGATATAGATATATAGATATATATATAAAGGTTACCTAAGTCGCATAAAATTACCTTAATCTACCTAAAGAGCTTTCTAGGTGAGATAAGGGGCGATACGTTTTATTCGTATACATATTTTTATTTTTTGATCTTTATTCCCTTTTTCTTGCTTTTCCTTTAGGGCTGGTATATATATATTTATTTTCGCAAGTGTGGACTTCTCGATTTTACTCGTCGTCTCGCCCGCTGCAGCACGCCTTTGGCGTCTCCTCTCTTCCTGCTTTTGGATGGCTTGCGCGCTCCCTCGGCCCGGAAAATGTATCGACCGGTCCAACGCCGTCGACGTGAGCTTGGACCTGGCCAATTTTTGCTTTTATTCGTCATTTATCAATTTGTGTGCGCGGCAGTCGGTTTATCGATCCGTTTAAAGTTTTCTTGTTATTACCGCCTAAGATTTTTGTGCGGCCCGACAATTTACAAAAATTAGAGTTTTGCGCTGCTCGATATATTTTACACTATATATATATATATATATATATTATACGCTGAGCCCATTGAAAATGGGTTAAAAGGGTATAGTGTATTTGTGCAAATGTATGTAACAGGCAGAAGGAAGCATCTCCGACCCCATAAAGTATATATATTCCTGTTTAGCATCAGAATCAACAGCCGAATCGATCTAGCCATGCCAACCTGTCTGTCCGTCTGTCCGTTTGTGGCTGTTGTTGCCGTTGGGTAGAGCCGGCGGCGGCAAGTAGTGCGCTTAGTTGCGAGTTCGAACCCTGCTAAGGGAACTTTATTTTTTAATTTATCTTTATTACTACTAAAGCAAAGGCATTTGGTGTTGGAATAAGAGGGTTCAGGGTGCCCCCTAGTCGGGAGCTCCCGACTAGAACCTCTTACTTGTTTTTTATTGAATTTGTATGTATTTATGTATATACATATAAAGTGAATGTAACACACGCTTTAATGCAGGTGGTATTTTGAAAGGCGTATCCCATGGCAACGAAAAAAGTGCAAATAGTTTTGTATCAATCCATTGGTTGCGATGAAGTCAGCTCCTAATTTAGGGTTGTTAAAAAGAAATAAACAAGTCAGTAATATGAGGAACGTTCAGCAACCAGCACAACCTATTAGCAATAACAGTGCAACATCATCCGAAAATAGTGAAACCCAAAGCTTAGAAGATCATCAAAAGGGCTTGCCACCAAACAATCAGAGTGCGGCTCTAATCAGGTGCGTTTAGAATGTCGATTCATGATTTAAAATACTTCAACTTATTTAAAGCATTTTTATACTCTGAACCCATTGAAAATGGGTAAACAGGTATTACTCTTTTTGTGCACATGTATGTAACAGGCAGAAGGATGCTTCTCCGACCCATAAAGTATATATATTCTTGATCAGCATTAACAGCTGAGTCGATCTAGCCATGTCTATCTGTCCGTCCGTCGGTCCGTCCGTATGTATGAACGCCAGGATCTCAGAACCTATAAAAGCTAGAGACTTGAAATTTTAGCTGTAGGTCCTCCTAATCCTGGCGCAGAGTTTGATTTCGATAATCGATAACTTACTCCGTTTCCAAGCAATCGATAAATATCTATATCGAAATCCTGTTTTTTGAGCAATTTCGGCAAATAATATGAGCTAGAGTCACCAAACTTGACATGTAGCTTCTAGAATGGTATATCAGTATCTTTCATTTTATACCTATCGCTACCACCGCAAAGCTATAAATCAAGTTTATAATCCAACTTGTATTGCCCAACAATTTAAGCCACAATTTATATGCAATTGACTTTTTGAGAATACACAAATATTCTATGGCACAATAATATGTACTGTCGAAAATTTCATTTAGATCGGTTAAGAAACACAAAAGTTATGTGCGCACGTGTTAGCAGCATAGCTGCTGCGCAAATTCCAAGAATTTCTGTATACATGTACACACACACATCTGCTTTGAACTCTATCAACAGCATTGCAATTGCGATTGTATTGTTTTCTGCTTTGTGCTGCTATTTTATTTCGTTTTTTTCTCATTAAGACTCAATTCTTCGTGTGGCTGATGAGTAGAGGCGGCGGCAAGTAGTGCGGTCTGCTGCGAGCTTAAGCCCTACCGAGGAAACAATTTTTTTTTTGTGCCTGGTGTGGCTGTTGGGTAGAGGCGGTGACGGCAAGTAGTGCGCTTAGTTGCGAGTTCGAACCCTGCTAAGGGAACTTTATTTTTTAATTTATCTTTATTACTACTAAAGCAAAGGCATTTGGTGTTGGAATAAGAGGGTTCAGGGTATACCTTAGTTGGGAGCTCAAGACTAGAACCTCTTACTTGTTTTTTATTGAATTTGTATGTATTTATGTATATACATATAAAGTGAATGTAACACATGCTTTTATGCAGGTGGTATTTTGAAAGGCGTATCCCATGGCAACGAAAAAAGTGCAAATAGTTTTGTATCAATCCATTGGTTGCGATGAAGTCAGCTCCTAATTTAGGGTTGTTAAAAAGAAATAAACAAGTCAGTAATATGAGGAACGTTCAGCAACAAGCACAACCTATTAGCAATAACAGTGCAACATCATCCGAAAATAGTGAGACCCAAAGCTTAGAAGATCATCAAAAGGGCTTGCCACCAAAGAATCAGAGTGCGCTCTAATCAGGTGTGTTTAGAATGTCGATTCATGATTTGAAATACTTCATCTTATTTAAAGCATTTTTATAATTATATTTAGCAATTTTTTCTTTTAGTGAGCCTTCAAACACTATAATGGTTCCATGCCTTACATATGCTAGCAGAAACACAAATTAATGTGTTTTGGTTGCGCACGTGTTAGCAGCAGCTAGCGCAAATTGCAAGAATTTCTGTATACATGTACACACCCACATTCACGCGCGTCTTCTTTGAATTCTATCAACAGCATTGCAATTGCGATTGTATTTTTTTCTGTGCTGCTATTTTAATTGGTTTTTTCTCACTGAGATTCAATTATTGGTGTGACTGTTCACTGGAGGCAGCGGCAAGTAGTGTAGTTTGTAGCGAGTTCGAACCATACCGAGGATACTTTTTTTTTTTACTAGTGTGACTGTTGAGTAGTGGCGGCATCAATTAATGCGGTCAGTTGCGAGTTCGAACCCTGCCAAAGGAACTTTTTTTTATTAATTTATCTTTATTACTACTAAAGCAAACGAGCGCGTAGCGCGAGCTGCATTTGGTGTTGGAATAAGAGGGTTCAGGGTATCCCCTAGTCGGGAGGTCCCGACTAGAACCTCTTACTTTTTTTTTTTGGCTGGTGTGGCTGTTGGGTAGAGGCGGCGGCGGCAAGTAGTGCGGTTAGTTGCGAGTTCGAACTCTGCCAGGGGAACAATTATTTTTTTTTTTTCATTTTTCTTTATTACTACTAAATCAAACGAGCGCGTGTCACGAGCTGCATTTGGTGTTGGAAGAAGAGGGTTCAGGGTATCCCCTAGTCGGGAGCTGCCGACTAGAACCTCTTACTTGTTTTTTTTGTTCATGGGATCGAATATAAAAGAAATCTCTATTTCATTCTTATAAAATGTAAAGTTCTAAAAGGAGGTGTTAGTTGATCGGACCTAACCTGAATTTTCGCCCTTACAACCTTTGACCACCAATTTAATTTTTCGAGTAGTAAGAAAAAAACCTAAAATAAAATATAAAAAAATAATTTTACAAATATTTGCCAATAATAAAAGGTCATCTGATCTCTACCTACTCTTTATTATTCCTAATTTAATTCCCTCAATTGCTTCTTCAAAGCCATCATGGTTCACTCCCAGACTATCAAACCTACAAAATATGAAGTCTAAATATTTTAAAAAGTTGAATAAGTCTGGTTCGAGTATTGACTTGACTAAATATTCCAAAGCCAAGTCGAACTTCTTTCTTCTGAATTCTCAGTGCTATGAGAATTATCTTTCTCGTTGCAAAAGGTAATTCGCCCAAAATCCGAGACAGGTTTATAATTTAGTAAAATTGAAGCGTAAATCTTCAAGTGTGCCATCACCTTTTTCTCTCGGGACAGATAAAGCTAGCAATGATTCCGATACTGCTAACCTCATTGCTAACTTTTTCCAATCAACTACTCTTCCGCCTGTCCTAAAAATTATTCTCACCATTACAATATTACTTCATCCGGTCCTATACCTGCACCTATTATTTCTCAATCCTCTCTCCTTTCTTCTATAACTTCTTGAAAATCTTCTTACTCTCCTGGGCCTGGCAATATTCCTAGTTGTCTACTCAAGGAGTGTAGTTCTTCCCTTCTTCGTCCATTGCTAAAACTTTTTAATTTATCCCCTGAATGTTCTGTCTTTTCAATCGTATATCATTCCTCTCCACAAGAACGGGGGAAGTCTCATATACAAAATTACAGGGGCATTGTCCGCTATCCCCAAATTATTAGAAACAAGTAAGAGGCTCTAGTCGGGAGCTCCCAACTAGGGAATACGCTGAACCCTCTTCTACCAACACAAAAGGCAGCTCTGTGTACGCGCTCGTTTACTTCAGCAGTACAAAAAACACATTAAGAAAAATGTTTCCTTGATAGGTCTCGAACTCGTGACACACCACACCACTTGCCGCCGCCTCTACTCAACAGGCACATCAAGAATTGAGTCTTAACGAGAAAAAAAAAATAGCAGCACAGAAAACAATACAATCGCAATTGCAATGCTGTTGATAGAATTCAATGAAGACGCGTATGATTGGGTGTGTGTACATGTATATAGAAATTCTTGCAATTCTCCCTAGCTGCCACAATCACGAAACCATCCAAAACACGTTTTCATTGTGTTTCTTAACAGATATTGATGAAATTTATAGTAGAGCTTATTGCGCTATAGAATATTCGTATATTCTTAAAAATACAATTGATTTATAAATGTAGTTTAAGTTGGTGGGTAGCTCAAATGTATTTGATTTATTGGTACGTAGTGGCTTTTAACAATTTTTTATGGGTTGAGGGTATACAAAAAAAGATTCCTCAATTGGTCTCAAACTCGTGAAGGACTACACTACTTGCCGCCGCCTCTACTCAACAGTCACACCAATAATTGAGTCTTAACGAGAAAAAAAGCAAATTAAAATAGCAGCACAGAAAACAATCGCAATTGCAATGCTGTTGATAGAATTCAAAAGAAGACACGCATGAATGTGTGTGTGTCCACATCCAATCCACATGCGCAGCCAAACACATTTTCTTAACAGACAGACAGACGGAAATGGCTAGATCGACTCGGCTGCTGATGCTAATCAAGAATATATATACTTTATGGGGTCGGAGAAGCATCCTTATGCCTGTTACAAAAATATGCACAAATGCATTATACTCATTTTCAATGGGTATAGGGTATAAAAAAATATTTTCTTCTGTAGGGTTCGAACTCGCAACAGACCGTACTACTTGCCGCCGCCTCTACTCAACATCCACTCCAATAACTGAGTCTTGATGAGAAAAATACCAATTAAAATAGCAGCACAGAAAGGAATACAATCGCAATTGCAATGCTCTTGATAGAATTAGAAGAAGACGGGCATGATTGTGTGTGTGTGTGTACATGTATACAGAAATTCTTGCAAGTTGCGCTAGGCGCTGCTAACACGTGTGAGGCCAATACACACAACTTTTGTTTGTTTCTTAACCGATCTTTATGAAGTTTTCTACAGTACATCTTAATGTGCTATGGAATATTTGAGTATTCTGAAAAAGTAAACTGGTCTTAAGTTTTAGCTTTAATCGGTGGGAAATACAAGTTGAGTTGTTAACTTGATTTATAGCTTTTCGGAGGTGGCGATATGTATAAAATGAAAGATATTGATATATATATACTATTCTAGAAGCAACATATCAAGTTTAGTGACTCCAACTCTTATTATTTACCCAATTTGCTCTAAAAACCGGAATTCGATACCGATTTTTATCGATAACTATCGGGGACAAGGAGGACCCACAGCCAAAATCTCAAGTCCCTACCTCTTATAGGTTCTGAGATCCTTGCGTTCATATACACGGACGGACAGACGGACGGACAGACAGATGGACATGGATAGATCGGCTCGGCTGTTGATGCTGATCAAGAATATATATACTTTATGGAGTCGGAGATGCTTCCTTCTGCCTGTTATATACATTTGCACAAAAACATTATACCCTTTCTACCCATTTGTAATGGGTTCAGGATATAAAGATAATCACTTCGAATTTGCAGCATTTCTGCAAATCAGTAGTCTCCTCTGTTCAACATGGATTCGTAAAGAATCGGTCAACTACGACCAATTTGCTTGAGTTTACTTCCTTGGTAAATTATGCTTTTCTTTCGAAATGCAAGCTGATGTAATTTAGACTGACTTCAGTAAGCCGTTTGACTCAGTGCACCATGATCTATTACTCTTTAAACTTGACCGTATGGGCTTCCCCCCGTCTCTTTTGCATTGGATTTCATCTTATTTAAAAGGTAGGACCCAAAGACCTCAAAACAGGTTCACGTTACTTCTGGTGTTCCTCAAGGTAGTCATCTTGGACCTTTACTCTTTACTCTTTTTATAAATTATATCCCCTCAGTTATATTACATGCCCGTGTACTTATGTTTGCTGACGATGTGAAACTTATTCTTTCATAAACTAATCCTTTACATCATTCTCGTCTACAAGATGATTTGAACGCTATGCAACTTTAGTGTTCGGCCAATCAATTGCATCTAAATTGTTCAAAGTGTATGTTTATGACCTTCACTCGTACCACACCTTATCTTGTAAGTTATACAATCGACAATACTCCATTGCAACGTATACTTACAGTTAAGGATCTAGTCGTTCTTTTTGATTCTAAGCTCGGTTTCAATCTTCATATAGATACCATCCTTAGTGAGGCAAAGGGTGTACTTGGATTCATTAAACGATGGTCTAAAGAGTTTAACGATACTTTTATAACGAAACTTCTGTACATCTCTCTTGTTCGCCCTATCCTTGAGTACTGCTCTTGCATCTGGTCACCGCAGTGTAACAATAGCTAGGATCGTATTCAATCTGTTAGGAAGCATTTTCTGTTTTTTGCCGTACGAGGTTTAAATTGGGACCCTAATCTTCAGTTGCCATCTTACCCCAGCAGGCTGCTTCTTCTTAATCTTCCGTCCTTAACCAACCGTGGGACAATCCTCGGTGTTGTCCTCCTACATAAATTGATTATTGGTGACATAGATTTCTCTTTTCTGTTAGGGCGTTTTCAGTTCTCTGTTCCGTCTAGACCTACCAGAAATTATCGCCCCTTATTCCTACCTATGTGCACAACAGACTACGCTATGCACAATTCTTTTTGCGTGTTATGCAAAAATTATAATAGTTTGTATCACGTTTTCTCTGCCAAACCCTCTCTCTACCCTTAATAAAATCGTTGCTTTCAGGATACCTTCGGGAAGCTTGCCGGACAGGCTATAAATTTTCTCCCACCGGGTCGGTGATTTCCGTTACTATCTCTTTACCCTGCCTACTTAACACTCTATATATAGTATACTTTTCTTTACTTTATTAACTACTAATTTATTTCTTTTTAACTATTTATTGTATTTTCATAAATAATATAGTTAATTAAAATTATTTTTAATGATTACTTAAGAACACTAATTTCTCTACTTACACCCTTCTTCTTAGCTGTAGGCTATAATAGCGTCACTAACAAATCTAATTAGGCGTTTACAACTTAATTTTTATAATTTTTTATATTGAATAATTAGGAAGACACTCGTTTTTGTCGACCATTTAATAAATAAATAAATAAAATTAACTTTCGTCTGAAACCTTGTTGATAATTTGAAACTGATCGGACGGTAAACAAACAACTTTCATAGAAATTTTTTCCGCCAATTTACCACATTTGCGGGTGGAATTTTCCAAATCGCTAAAGCACGTATTCATTATATTTCTATGTAGAGCTTTGAAAATAAGTTTGAAGCAAATCGGACGCAGCTTAAAACTTTGTCCAAAAAATCTTTCTGCCGTAGAAGTTTGGATTCTGCGAAAAGTGTGAAACACGTCTCAAATGATTTTTCCTATAGATCTTTGGAAATGAATTTGAGGACGAAACGTCATACACCAAATCTTTGACCCCCATTTCCACTAAGGAGGAATGGATTTTCCAAAAAGTGGGAAACACCCCTCAAATGAATTTGAACGAAGATCTTTGAAAATAAGTTTGAGGCCGATCGGATGGTAAACAAAAAAGTTTCATAAAAACGTTTTTCGCGATTTTTCCACACTTGCGGGTGGAATTTCCGGAAATCCCGTCTTAACGTGCACCTATAGTAAATCACATAAGATAACTACAGGGAAAATTTCAGCTTCCTAGCTCTTACAGTTTGGGCTGTGCGTTGATCACCAATCAGTCAGTCAGTCAGGACAAACAGTTTTATATATAGAGATATATTTTTTTTTAAAATATTTTGCAGCCATCTCCCGCCGTTGAAATTTGAAATCAACCCGTACTATCTGAGAGTCCACGTCCTATGTCGGATTTTAAACTAAAAAGTTTCAAACTGCCGTCACAAGTAGCTTTTACCTAAGCCCCGACAAAGGGAGTACTACAATAATAATATCAGCTTTGCATTTCTTACGCTTTGGGCTGCGCGTTGATCACCAAATAGTTAGTCAAGACAATCAGTTTTATGTACTTATAAACATTTATTTAATCGGAGACGTTTTATATGTGTATATATTTAAACTAAATAAGTCAACAAATTTAAATATTTTTATTTAGAGCGAAAACGAGTTGGAAACGCATGAAAGACCTAGCCGCAGAGAAAGAAAAGGAAAATGAAACTAAACGACCACCTTGGCGAGCTGTTAGTGTTTCAACTCTCTCTAAGCCGGATAAAAATGCATTGCTTCGTGCTAAATTGCTTGATGCTTCCAGGTATGTACATAACACCTTAGAGCATTAATACAATGTGCCATCAAACTATTGACTTTTACTGGATAAAGACGTTTACGAGCTGGCAAGACCAATGTGGCGCTACAAACTGATTTCGTTCCCACTAAAGTGATGAAAGAAGCTGTGACAGGTGTCCAGGATGATATGATTTTGTTTAAAGATATTGGAATATTAACGGATGGTCAATACTCAATTAAAAAGGATGGATATCAACAATGTATAAGTACAAAATTGGAAATACTCTCTTTAAGACTAAGTCGTAATTTTTTCAGATGTACTAACCTATTCCATATCGCAAATGACCGACCGTGTCGACAAAACAGATGTTTCAACACAAACGCTTTTACCCAAAGCATATAATAAAAGCATTATCAACTCAAGCCTGTTTGACTTTAAGCATCACGGCAAGGATGACACTTGTGACTTAAATAAAAAAAAAGAGTTTCAAATTAATAATACCCATAAGACAAATACAGCGTTTAATTCAACTCTAGGAATACATGATATACAGTTGAATCCTACTTTATCATCGTGGCACTTTGATGACGACGCTATTGAAATGGAGTTAAAAGAGAGTTTCATACCCTATACTATTGAGTCTTTTAAGCCGTGGCGCAGTTTTATTCCTATTCCGTTTTATATAAGGAGCAACAACCTGGTAGGTAGGCAGAAAATCGACTGGGGTTTCCTGCTCCACTCCATTGATGACTTAGTTCGAGAGTCAAATAATTTGCTTGATAGGTTGCAAACAATAATACATCATAAGAATTTGCAACGTAAGCATGTACATAAAACAATGCATGAAATAAGAAAGTTCCAACCAAAAAATTTCATATTTCCATCTGACTACTGGTTACCGATAATTGAAAAACAGGAAATACAGCTACAATTATTGCTGGACCCAAAATAACAACATAGTTTTAGACTTAAAATAAATATTTCAAACTACATATATTATTAAATGATAAAAACATTAAAAACATCAATAAAAACATTAAAAATATTATTATTATTATTACATTAATATTATAGTGGCTTTGTGAAAATACATATAATAGTAGCTAGAGTGTAGATTTTTGGCATATCATATGTCCCTGCAATACTTCATTATTACAAAATATCGAGGTTTAGCTCAGGGGTTTTCAGCTAGCAACATCAAATTTGGTATGTACAAAAAATATTCTTGAATTTAAACAATGTGACGCGGGGTCACAATAAGAATTATAATTATAAGAAGTATAATCAGATAATCAATTGATATTAAGTAAAGTTGAACATATTGAAGTCTAAAATAGCTTAAAACAAATCATTTAAGAGAATAAAGAAAGACTATTTAAGTTAAGAGAGACCGATTACGAATTAAATAGAATTATAGGCAACTCTGACTCCTCAAAAATGTAAACGGGAGGAGCGGAGGAGCGAATAGGCTTTAATAGATAGTTTTCGCCGCACGGCGAAAATGGCGAAAAGGGTCGTAAGACGACGAAGCTGATCAGCAGCTTCAAGTTGGACTTGGCGATCGTAAGTGTACGACGTGTGGACGCGACAAGAAAAAAGACATAGAAAAGGAATCACGAAGTGACCGCGAGGTTAGGGATAAATAGTCAAGAATTGGCGGTGCAGTAGGGCCAGTGTTTTAGGTTGAATAAAAGAGTGTTATTACAATTGAAGTGCTTTGTGTTCTCTTCTTTTGTTGTGTTCGGTGTCGAGTAAGAGTCGCTTAGGTTCAGCAACTCTTCACTTAGCAGCAGAACGACCCCAGCAGCACCCATCACGCTGATCAACCCTAACCCTAGCCGCGGCGGAGAAATCACAGCGGTTCCCTTCCCCTTTCCTAAAACTAACCATTCTGTGGCGGAGTGATCCCTTCAACTCCCAACCCCCCTTTCAGCTTCACGTCTCGGCGAACTACAATTTTCTTGTAGAGTGGACTCGGTACGACTGAGTTTTACGACCCCGGCTAAGAACACTACATTACAAGTGGCGCCCGAGCAGGGACCCTAGGTGTGAAGGGGCGTGCCATTAACGTGGCCCAAAAGCCCAAGAAAGTGCCACCAGAATGAGCTTAGAAAGTCCCACTGGGGTGTCAGACAAACATGTGGAGACAATAGGAAAATAGCAAAGAAGCGACTCGAAAACTAACGGACAGTCATAAAAGTTCTAGCTGAGCGATCGAATTCGTTTCGAGCGCGCTAGCGTGTTCGTCCGCATGCTAACATACGCTCACACGCACAATAACAACAAAGTTATTGAAATAACATTATCCAAATATTTTACAAAATCAAAAAACTAAAAACATTCAAATTTTATGCTGTTAATAAAGTTTTGTTACAGCTACGGTAAATTGCTTTGACGTTCTCTTTTGGGCGATCCCTTTAGATTTAGGCCCATGCGTTTTAGCTTCCTTTGTGTCTTTGACTTTTCTAGTCATTTTCTATTGCAATTTGTAACATTTTGCTTCAATTTTGTGAAAAAAAAAATTCCAGGAAAAAGAACAACTTTTGAAGTCGCTCAGCTGGTGTATAATAATCATCAGATGGGACGTCAAGTCTCGGAACTGGCTGATATGTTTAATTTATCAAAACCAACGATATACAACATATTAAACAGAGCCAATAAGGAAGATAGGCTAGAGGCAAAGCCAGTAAGTGATCGTCCCTGCAAAATTTCTGTCCGAGATAAGCGAAAAATTCTTTGAAAAATTTAGAAAAATTATCAAATTTCGCTTAGGGATATTGCTCAAGAATTCAAGGAAGAAAGTGGTGTTGATGTTTCACATGAAACTGTCCGAAAATTGCTGAATTCGAATGACTACACATAACGAGTTGCCAAGAAAAAACCTCTAGTTTCGGCCCCAATATTTTGAAGCGGTTATCGTTCGCTCAAGCCCATGTGAATAGGTCGAATGATTTTTGGAATAACGTCATATTCTGTGACGAAAGCAAAATGATACATTACTATAATGATGGGCCATCCAGAGTCTGGAGAGAGCCACTACCAGCGTTGGAAAACCGCAATATTATCCCAACAATTAAATTCGGAAAACTGTCAATGATAGTGTGGGGGAGTATTTCGAGCAAGGGTGTAGGAGATTTTACCTTCATAGAAAATACTATGGATGCTAAACAATATATGAGCATTTTACAGACACATCTCGTCAGCAGGCACGGAAATTTGGATTTTATGCAATAAGCAAAATTTTAAATTTTACCAGGACAATGATCCGAAGCATAAAGCTCATATGGTGAGAGTGTGGCTGTTGTACAACTGTGGAAAGGTATTGGACACTCCACCACAAAAGAAAATGTGTGGTCATATTTGAAAACAAAAATTAGCAAAACGAAGTCCAAAATCAAAAACTTATTTAAAAGCTGCTCAACTGGAAGAATGGCAGAAGATTCCAGGAACATACATACAAAAAATAATTGAATCAATGAAACAACGAATGAAGGCTGTATGTGACGCTAAAGGCAGCCACACAAAATATTAAATAAAATGTATTACTGTTTTTAAATATTGTTATTTAGTAACAAAGTTTCGTGTAAACTCACTTTATTGACAGCATACAATTTGAATGTTTTTAGTTTTTTAATTCTTTAAAATGTTTGGATAATCTTATTTAAATCATTTTTATGCCGTTAAGTTCTAGGAAAAAAAAAGAATCAAAATAAATTAGAAACGAAAAAAAAACTCACTTTTAGGTACATTTATTTTTAACTAAACCAAAAATATGAGTTTTTTTTCGCTAGTAAAAACACTTTATTGACATACTGTATATAATCTTAAACGCATTGGTAACGCTGTTGTCAATATAGAAACACATCGAAAAACTAATGATATAGTGTTATGATATCGTTGTTATGATATCGTTGTGCCAAACCTTTTAGGTGTCTAAAATGCTCTCTTAGACATCTAAGTAATACTTACCCGAAAGGCAAAGAATTGCCAGCAAAATGTGTCAACTGCCTTGAAGATCATGCCACTAGCTGCCAAGGGTGTAGAATTTATCAGGAACTTCTGTCGAAAAAGTAAGTAACTGATCGAAAAAACCCTTGTTACTAGTAAAAAAGTTATGCAAGTAAATCTAAACATCGGAATATGCAATGCCAATGGGCTTTCCAACCATGTAAATGAAATATCTTTATTTTTAAAAACTAATGAGATTCACATCATGTTAATATCTGAAACTCATTTTACCAATAGATCATTCTTTAGAATGATTGAATATGAATATATATAGTCAGAGCTAACCATCCTGCCGGTAGAGCTCACAGAGCCGCTGATATTCTCATTAAAAAAGGTTAAAAGTTTAAAATTATGGACAGCACAAGGGAAAACGCTATACAAGCTGCCACAATTGAGATAAAATGTATACATGCAGACGTAACAGTCACAGCGATTTACCTCCCCCGAAGGTTCGCACTCAAAGAAACTGACTTTTGCAACTTTTTCAAAAAACTCGGAACGATGTTTATTGTTGGTGGCGACTTCAACGCCAAACACCCATGGTGGGGATCCAGACTGACAAATCCAAAGGAAAGCGACCTATACAATTTATATAGGATATAATAGCTTTACAACTCTTTCAACTGGCTGTGACGCGGGGTCACAATAAGAATTATTATATATAATATAATCAATTAATATTAAGTAAGGTTGAAAGAATTAAAGTCTAAAATAGCTTAAAACCAGTAATTTAAGAGAATAAGGGAAGAGGATTTAAGTTAAGAGAGACCGATTACGAATTAAACTTAATCGTAGGCAACTCTGACTCCTGAAAATGTAAACGGGAGGAACGGAGGAGCGAATAGGCTTTAATAGATAGTTTTCGCCGCACGGCGAAAAGGGCGAAAAGGGTCGTAAGACGGCGAAGCTGATCAACAGCTTCACTTCTGATTTGGCGAGCGTAAGTGTTGGACGTGTAGACGTGACAAGAAAAGACATAGAAAAGGAATGGCGAAGTGACCGCGAGGTTAGGGATAGATAGTCAAGAAGTGACGGTGCAGTAGGGCCTGTGTTCTAAATTAAATGAAAGAGTGTTATTACAATTGAAGGGGTTTATGTTCTCTTCTTTTGTTGTATTCGGTGTCCAGTAAGAGTCGCTTAGGTACAGCAACTCTTCACTTAGCAGCAGAACGACCCTAGCAGCACCCATCACGCTGATCAACCCTAACACAAGCCGCGGCGGAGAGATCACAGCGGTTCCCTTCCCCTTTCCTAAAACTAATCATTCTGTGGCGGAGTGATCCCTTCAACTCCCAACCCCCCTTTCAGCTTCACGTCTCGGCGAACTACAATTTTCTTGTAGAGTGGACTCGGTACGACTGAGTTTTACGACCCCGGCTAAGAACACTACATTACAAGTGGCCCCCGAGCAGGGACCCTAGGTGTGAAGGGGCGTGCCATTAACGTGGCCCAAAAGCCCACGAAAGTGCCACCAGAGTGAGCTTAGGGCCAAAAAGGCAGAGTTAACTGAGAAGTTAGCTGCCCGCGGCGTAGGAAAAAGGAACATCGAAACTGGGGTGTCAGCAGCAAGCGCACATGTGCAGACAAACAAGTGGAGACAATAGGAAAATAGCAAAGAAGCGACTCGAAAACTAACGGAGAGTCGGCAGCTGCCTAAGCCTACCGTGGGGAAAACCGGTCGGTACGCGACGAAATTGTGCGGCCAGTGAGCGCGTCGAGAAAGTGATTGAACAAGGAAGTGAATTCGGTCTGATATTAACATTAAGGTTATAGTGGCGAATAATTCTTTTGTTAAACAAATAAAACTGTGAGAAAAAAAAGGTGAATATTTAAGACAAAAGTGAGCAGCAACGAGACGATTACGTTGAAAGTTGATTTTTATTTTTTTTTTGTGATCACTCGTGCAAAACGAAAAGAAAGAAACCCAGACGTTTTAGTGATTAA